TACAAGAGCGGAGTGGGGGGAGTGGGCAGTGGGAGAGGGAGAAGCAGGCTCCCCACTGAGCAGGGAACCCGACACAGGGCTCCATCCCAGGACCCTAGGATCATGACCTGAGCCGAAGGCAGATGTTTAACCAACTGAGCCACTCAGGTGCCCCAGGTGCCCCTGTATTTTTGATTCTTAGAATCTGAAGGGGTCATAAGATGCATTCCATGAGAAATAATATTGAATCATCATGTGGCCAGGTGTGAGGGGCTCCCCTGCCGGAAGGGTGTAAGAAGGAACTAACATTTATGAAGTGTTTGGAAGGTGAGAGGCAATGGCTTGGTTCCCAGTGACAGCTTTTTGCACTGGATGCCATTTGGGGGTAAGGTGGGGTGGGCAAGCTACCTTAGAAAGAAAACTGAGAACACAAGTTTATATACCCGGTCTGATTTTTGAGAGAGCTTGGCATTGAGGTTTGTCCCAGAGACCAGCCGTGGCCCTGCCTCAGGGTGGGTGTGGCTAGGGCAGGTGGGGATGGTTGTGGGAGGTGTGAAGCTCAACAGACTTAGTGAGTCCTTTGGTGTGGCTCTGTATGTGAGAGACAATCAGATTGCAGAGCATGTGCCCTCTCTCCTCCTGGCAGGCAGGTGTGTAGCCTGTGGGCTGGACCAGTATGGTCGAGAAAGTCCTGGAAATGGGCAGGCAGAGGCTGTGGTGCCTCAGGTCCTGTTGGCAGCACCATACTCCAAGGTTAGTTGATGAATGTGATGAATTTGCATATCAACAAAGCCAGGACCATCACCAACTAGTTTGAAAGTATATATTTGGAATAAAACATTTATAAACCCCAAATCCTTCCAGTTGTCAAGTAATGGGACAGTATCAGGAGAGATGGAGGAATGACCTTTACTCCCAATTTGTTCAGAGAAGCCATCTCATTGTGAGCCTTGGACATCTTATGATCCATAAGTTCCTCCCATGAGCACCAAAATTATTCCAGAGAGATTCAGACTTTTCTTGATATCTAGGAATCAACCATACTGAATACGGTCTTATATCAATGGTTCAGACATGATAATAATTTCAGCCAATATTTACTATCCACCCACTTCTCTCTATCCCCTCACTACTAGCCCTGTGCCACATACACTAAAACTGACACCTGAATGATCTTCTAAAAAAGAATATCTGGGGGCATCTGGGTGTCTCAGTTGGTTAAGCATCTGACTCTTGATTTTGGCTCAGGTCATGATCTCAGAGTCCCGAGATCAAGCCCCATGTTGGGCTCTGTGCTGGGTGTGGGGCCTGATTAAGATTTTCTCTCCCTCCTCTTCTGGCCCTCCCTGCTAAAAATAAATAATTAATTAAATAAATAAAAATAAAAAAGAATATCTGATTGTGTTTGTGTCTCTCTGCTCTTAAAGCCTTTCATCAGCTTTCCACTGCTCAGAAGATAAAGACAAGTCCCTTGACATGGTTGGTGAGGTCTTGCATGGTCTGGCCCCACCTCCTTCTCCAGCCTCATTGCCCAGCTGGGTGCCCTCACCTGTCTTTCAGGCTCATGTATTTGCCAAGCTCTCATCTGCCACAGGGATATTACACGTAGTATATTTCCTGTCTGGAATGATCATCCTTTTTTTATCTAGTTAATTCTTACTCATAATGACTCAAAGGTCACTTGCTCAAGGAAGCTTTTTCTGATATCTCTGACCAGTTTAAATGTCTCCATTATGGACTCTGATAGAACCATGAGCACTTGCACTTAGAAACAGTTGCAATTTTGTAGTTATTTGTATATATTTTTTATTGGTGCTTGTCTCTCTTCCAAATGGTTAGCTCCATCAGGGCAGAAACAATATTGCTTTTGCCCATCATTGTATCTCAATGCCTGGTATTCACTCAAGCACCCATAACGTGCCAGGCACCATTCTGGTGCTAGAGATGCCGGAATAAGCAAAATGAAGGTCCCTTTCCCCATGGAGAGTGCTTTTTTTCATTAGTCAATATTTACTATGTTCTAGGTACTGGCTAGGTGTTTTTCATGAATTACCTCATTTAATCCCCTTAAAATCTGGTTTTTACCTTATTATTTCTCTTTTTTCAGATCTTATAAACAGAAGCTTGAATTTCTCAAGCTTCTCATTTCACAGCATATTATCACTAGCGACCTGCTGGACCCTTCCTTGGTTCACTATTATCCCCTATTCCCCACTCTTATAATGCCCCCTCCCACCCCTGAAAGAATGCTGGTGTATCTTTTTGTTTGAATGTGTTTTTCAAAACTGAGGCTTGCTCTTTGATGCATTTTTGTTGATGTTTGATGAGTTTTTAATTTACACAAATGTTTTTGTGTTATATATTTCTTACTTTACCCCCAATGGCACAGTTCCTAAGATCCAACTATATTGTTATGTATGCATCTAATTCATCACTTCTAATTGTTGTGTGGTACACCATAAAATGCATTTAATACACTATACCTTTCCAGTTTTCTAGAGATGAACAACCACATTTCCACCAACATAATAAATGTATGATTTGCACAATGAACACACTCATATAGTTCTCCTTATATACGAAGAGAAAAATTATACACCTAATGAGTGGCAGAACAAAAAGTTTCATGCAGCTACAATTTCTTGCTTTGTAATACTGCCTAGAATTGGTGTGAATACCAAAAATCATGTAAATATTATGTACTAATTGGGGAAATGTAAAGATAAAACTTTCTAAACCATAAAATGGTACCAATTGGACATGTTTAATAGATAAGGAATTAGAATGTTTTAACTGTGCCTAAAACCAAAGAACAAATGGGAGGAAATATTATCCAAGTAGATTTGGCACTAGATCTTTACTAATCAAGCAAGGATTCCAGAATGTTCTTCAGGTCCAATGGAAGCCTCTTCCACGAGTCTACTGTTAATGGACACAAAGAACAGCATAAAGGGCACCATATCTGGCCATAACCCAAACTAGACAGGTTGGCTGCATTCTGGACATGCAAAGATATAGAGGAGTTTCATGCAGAGAATTGAACATAGGGGATGACATCTGAGATTCTTTACAACTTTAAGATGTCCTTGTTTGACTTGTGAGTCTATACATCGACTGCTTCACTCAATATTGTGAACAGATGGGGCACCTAGGTGGCTCAGTAGATTAAGCGTCTGTCTTCGGCTCAGGTCATGATCCAAGAGTCCTGGGATTGAGCCCTGCATCAGGCTCCTTCCTGAGCAGGGAGTCTGCTTCTCCCTCTCTGTTTGCCCCTCCACCTCCACTTGTGCTCTGTCTTTCGCTTTCTTTCTCTCAAATAAATAAATAAAATCTTTTAAAAAAAATATTGTGAACAGAGGCTGAAGACACAGCTGCTGATCTCAAAGAGCTCAGGGTCTAGTTAGGAGACAGACAATAAACACATAGTTAAATATGGGATGATCTTTGCATTATCATGAACCCACATAGACCTTTATTATAACACAGAAATGAGATTACCAACTCAAGCCAGGAAAACAGAGAGGGGCTCCCTACAGAAAGTGATGCTTGGAAGGAGAGGTAGCCAGAGAAAGGCATGCCTGTGTCTGGAACTGTATGTGCCAAAGTACACAGGTGAAGTAATAAATGATTTTATTTTATTGAAAAATAAACCAATACTCTTTATAATAGCATTGAAAATCAAATATCTAGGGGTGAATTTAATGAAAGATGTGCAAGAACTTTACCCTGGAAACAGTAAGCATTTTTGAGAGGAATTAAAGAAGATATAAACAAGTGGAGAGATATACCATATTCATGGATTAGAAGGATGACTGTCTTAAAATGTTTATTTGCTCTAAATTGATCTATAGTTCCAATGGAATGCCTACCAAAATTACAGCAGGTTTTGGGGGAAGAAATAGGAAATCTAATTCTAAAATTTTTATGGAAATTCAGAGGACCTAGAAGTGCCAAAATTATCTTGAAGTAGAAGAGTGTTGAAGAACTTACACTACATCATTTCAAGACTTGCTATAAACACAATAATCAAGTCAGTGTGGTATTGTGTAGGGAAAAACACACAGGTCAATGGAAGAAAAGGGAGTCCAGAAATAGACCTCTACTTTTACAGTCAACTTATTTCAGACAAGGGTACCAACATAATTCAATGGTGACAGGAAATTCTTTCAACAAATAGTGCCGGAAATACTGAATATTCTTATGGGGAAAAAAAGTAAAGTCAACTCCTGTCTCACTGCACAAATAAAAAAATAATTTGAGATGAATCAAAAGTCTATATATAAAAAAAAACAGAACCATAAAGCTTCTAGAAGAAAATACAAGAGAAATTCTTTGCAATCTTCAGTTAGATATGGATTGTTGCGAGAAGACACGAAAAAGACAAATCCTAACATAAAAAAACTGATAAATTGGACTTCAACACAATTAAAAATTTCTGCCCATTAAAGTTGCCATTAAGAAAATGAGCAGATAAACCACAGACAGGGGAAAACTATTTGCAGAACATATATCTGATAAATGTTTATATTCAGAATATATTATTAATAAATTAATAAGAAGATAATTCAATTTTTAAAATGGACAAAATACTTCACAGAAGACAATATGCAAGTGGCCAATAAGTACATGAAAATATACTCACATTTTTAATTGTTAGAAAAATGCAAATTAAAACCACAATGAGATACTATTACACACCCACCCAGAAGGGTAAAATAAAAAAAACAATGACAACACCAAATGTTAGTGGGGATGTAGAGCAATTAGACTCTCGTATTGGATGATGAAAGAGTCAAAAGGTACAACTAGTTTGGAGAACCATCTGCCAAAATCTAGTAAAGTTAAGCAGACAGCTACCCCGTGACCCAACAGTTCCAATTCTAGGCATTTGCCCAAGAGAAATAAACGATCATCCACAAAAAGACTAGTATAAAAATATTCTGAAGCCTTATTCATGATAATCTCAAACTGAAAACAGCTCAAATGTTCATCAACAGAAAAGCAGATTTTAAAATTGTGGTGTAGTGCCCACTTGAGCAATATTTCTACTACAATTGGAATGATACAGAGATGATTAGCATGGTCCCTGCGCAAGGATGACATGCAAATTTGTAAAGCTTTCCATATTTTTTTGGATAAAGAAGATGTGATGTACACATACACACACATACACACACACACTGGAATATTACTCAGCCATCAAAAAGAATGAAATCTTGCCATTTGCAGTGACGTGGATGGAGTTAGAGTATATTATGCTAAGCGAAATAAGTCAGTCAGAGAAAGACAAATACCATATGATCTCACTCATATGTGGACTTTAAGAAACAAAACAGATGAACACAGGGGAAGGGAAGGAAAAATAAAATAAGATGAAAACAGAGAGGGAGGCAAACCATAAGAGATGCTGAACTCCAGGAAACAAATGGAGGGCTGCTAGAGGGGAGGTGGGGGAGGGATGGGGTAACTGCGTGATGGGCATTAAGGAGGACACTTGATATAATGAGCACTGGGTGTTGTATGCAAATGATGAATCACTAAATTGTACCTCTGAAACTAATAAAAAAAATTGTGGCATATTCATACAATGTAATGCACAAAATAGTATTTTCTATATGATTCCATTTATGAAGTTCCAGAACAGACAAAACTCATCCGTGGCAATAAAGATCAGAAAATGGTTGCCTCTGGGGTAGGGGGATGGTAGGTTGACTGGAAAGGGACACGGGAAAACTTTCTAGAGCACTGGGAATGTTTGGTATCTTGCCCCGCAGATAAATTGTCAAAACTCATTATACTGATCCCTCAGGATTTTTTTTTATATTATTGTATGTTAATTATATCAAAAGGAAGGAGGGAAGGAGAGAAGGCAGGCAGCCAGGTAGGCAGACACACGGTCTGATCAGAGAATCTTGGGCAATTGCTGATGCCTAAAACACTGGTGCCATGCTGGAAAGGGGTAGGAAGGGAGCCCTGCCCCTGCTCACAAGGTCAAGCTGTCTCTGATTTTTCCCCTCCCTTGGCAAAAGGAAAGCCTGAATGATTCTATGCAGGAATGACATTTGTGCCTTAGAGAGGTCACCTTGATGAGAGGTGAGGCAGGGCGTTAGGCATCTGCTATGACCAGGGGGTTGTTACAGGAGATGATTTGGAGATTCCAGCTGGTTACAGTGGTACATGCAATGTTATTTTTAGCTTCCCCCAACAGGAAGGAAGAGCATTTCTCTGGTTGCTAGGGAAATCGTGTTCTTAGCAGTTACATCTTGGTTCCTAATTTAAGTCTTGGGGGAAAGAAAAGTCTTGGGGAAAACCAGAGAACTTTACAAGCCAGTGCGGGTATGCCTTGCCAGGACTGTACACCTGCTCGAAAGTTGTTATTTTTCTCCTAATGCATTCATGAGTGACTGTCACCATAGCAACAATGATGCTGGACAAGGCTGGGTCATCAATGGAGAACTCCTGCTGGTTACAGGATGGAGGTCAGTCCAGGAAGCCCTGTTCAGGACCAGTGGCAAGTGTTGGAACAGATGGATACGCTGGTAGCCACTGCAAGTGCCAAGGGGTGGAAAAGTTGTAGGCAGAGGGTAACCTGAGGGGCGCATAGGTTTGCTGCCAGCCCATCGTGGTCCTAATTCCTGCGGGGCAAAATCTCAAATCCCCTTGGCATTTGGCTAAAGCTTAGTGTGGTTTCTTGGGCATAGTACATTTAAAGTACTCGTTTGTCTAGACTCTTAACTACAGAGAACAAACTGATGGTTGCTGGGGGTGGGGGGTGGGGGGAGGGGAGAAACAGGTGATGGGGATTAAGGAGGGCACTTGTGATGAGCTTTGGGTTATGTATGGAAGTGTGGAATCACTGTCTTGTACACCTGAAACTGATATTACACTCCATGTTAACTAACTGGAATTTAAATTAAACCTTTTTAAAAAATAAAGCACATGTTTGCCAAATGAAAGCCATCTCATGGTGGTAGTAAGAGAAGAATCCGAAACTGCCTCTGGCTTTGGAGCCATGCCGTTACGGGAGCAACAAGAGTAGCTTTGGGGCGTTAGCTGTCCCATAACTTCCATCAACATCCAGCTTCATTTAGTAGCATGGACAATGGACCTAAGTCTTTCGTGAGACGTCAATAAGACGTAGTTTAGAGTTTAGTGACCTCCTCTCATCCCCGTGAAAATACACAGGACCATCTCTGGCAGAGCACAGGGCTGTGTTCCAGCATCCCTGACTCATTTCCATCCCAAACACCAAGTTCCTTCCACCTCACTGCTGGAAAGCAACGTTGGCAGCTTGTCAGTGTTTTCCAGAGGCGATTCTGTGATGAGATGAAGGCGCCTTCCTTTGGCTTTGGTTTTCAACTGGTTTGTGCAAGTGAGGGTGGGCAGCACACCACCACCTTTCTCTCCACCTGTTTGCAAGGCTAGCCCCTCTCCCCCACTGCAGGTCAGAAGGCAGCTTTCAGAAAATACCCAGACCAGCACATCTCACCATCTTTTTCCCTGCTCTGTCATACCTGATGGATGGAGTCCCCACTCATGACAAGGGTCAATGGATGTACTTAGATTTTGATGAAACAGGGAAAAAAAATTGTGTGAGGAAAGAAAGCTCTGCAATGATGCATCGTCATTAGCCCCATTCTGGGTGTCTCTGGGGGGACAGCATCCTTGGCATGGGGTGGGGACGACAGGTGCCTGTGGCCCTTCCATTCCTTCCCTCCCAATCATGACGTGCTTTGAAGGCAAGTAAGGTAATGTGAATTGATCTTGCAGTAATCTCAAATCAACTCTAATTCCTTTTGTCACATGAAATCATCCCCAAATCTTACTGATGACTGATAATCGTTGAACCCTCAGTGGCTCCTACCGCCCACTGAAACCCATTTGTCATCCCTGAAAGTCTTTTGAGCCACCTTAGTTTGCTACCTGTCCTCGGTTCCATGCCACATCGACTTTTCATGGTTCAAAGATATAGAGGAGAGGCACCCAATTTACCTAGACTCGTGTGGCATTGATTTGCAGGGAGAGAAAGGTTGAGTGTCTGTACCCCACCCCTTCCTGTTAGAAAGCTGACTTTTAGTGCCCACCTCAGCATCTGCATCGGAAGAATTAAGATGCGTGGACATTACTTTCCTACACATTTGCCCCAATACATCTCAGAGAGTACAGGGGAAGGCAGAAGACAGGCCCCTCCAGCACACACATCCCTCACCAGCTGCAGAATCCTCCCAAATGTCCTCAACACACCTGAAAGGACATGTCTGGTTCTCCCTGGAATGCACCCCCCTCCCCCAGCAATCATTTCCTAAGGAGATTGGAGGGGATGGAGAAACTTTTGGAGAGGTGAATCAGAACCTTCTGGCAGGAGATAGCACTCTGTCTCCACCACCCCATGATTTTGAGAGTCACTGGTCCGGGGACTAGCAGCGGGGCAGCATGGGAGTGACTTTTTCCCCCCACTGTGTTCTTATCTGGAAAACTGTGGAACCCAGGATTATGTAGAGAAGGTCAACCAGGATAGTGCCTAGCACGGGGCTCTTTTCCAAAGAAGTTCAAGACTGCGAGACATCCAGGGAGGTAAGTGGACAGAATCCTGCACTCCAGCCGAGACGACAGGTATGAGCTGTGACCTTGCAGAGAAGATTTCAACAGTATGCATGGGACTAGAGAGGCACCATCCCCACCCCCCTGCCCATCTCTCCGTGGGAAGACTGTCCCAACAATCCTGTGAGATGTCAGTGAAGATCCCTGGGAGAAGCCAAGACCAGCGTAGACTGGTTCTGGGGATTAGAACATCAACATATATATGTGGGGAAAGGACACATTTTGGCCCTTGTCACCAACCATAAGCTATTCACAATCAGCAGGCTGATTCTGAAGAGGGGTAACTGACTCTCGGGGAGATCAGGTCCCAGTTGCCCAAGCTTGCATAGGAACACCAGACAGAGCCCCCGGGCACTGGGTCTGGGAATCGCAACGCTCCCGATCTCTCCTGCCCTGTCAGACCGCCTGCCCGTTTTGTGGGGCTCTACTTTTGTGTTGTCTTGTATTTAAGTTTGAGGAATTGGAAGAGCCCAAAGCCCAAGAGCATGTTATGGTCTACCACTTTTATAGATTAAAACAAAAATCGTGGCGTCTGGGTGGCTCAGTTGGTTAAGCAACTGCCTTCAGCTCAGATCATGATCCCAGAGTCTCAGGATCGAGTCCTGCATCAGGATCTCTGCTCAGTGGGGAGTCTGCTTCTCCCTCTGGTCCTCCCCCCGCTTGTGTTCTCTCTCTCACTCTCAAATAAATAAATAAGATCTTAAAAACAAAACAAAAAAATTCATAAGTTGCCAAAGATAGACTTGAAGTCCATTTAGATGTAAATAATACTCATAAAAATACTAAAGAACGTTGTTGAAGAAAGGGAACCAAAGAATTCTGTGTAGGCCTACATGTGTTTGGAAGGAGAAACATATAAATTGTTCATGTGAAGAATAGCTTATGGTTGGTGACAAGGGCCAAAATGTGTCCTTTCCCCAGATATATATGTTGATGTTCTAATCCCCAGGACCTCACAATGTGACCCTATTTGGATGTCAGGTCTTTAAAGAGGTGATGAAGTTAAAATGGGGTCATTAGACTGGGCCCTCGTCCAACACGATCTGTGTCCTTCTAAGAAGAGATTAGGACACAGGCACTCATAGAGGGGAGACTGCGTGAAGACACGGGCAGAAGACAGCCATCAACAAGCCAAGGAGAGAGGCCTCCGAAGGAACCAACACCGTGATCTTGGACTTCAGCCTCCAGATCCGGGAGATGATAACATCCTGTTGTTCAAGCAGCCTGGGCTGTTACTTTGTTGTGGCCCCAACAAACTAGTGTAGCTGCAACCATACGGTTGTTCTAATTGTTTACGGTTAAATTGAACCAGGAGTCGCTAAAGCCCTCAACTTCCCCGAAGAGTATTTTCCCTAACCTGACTGCAAAGATGGTCAATAGCCTCCTAAGGGCAGAATAACGGCCTTGTTTATGAGTTCACTCCAGCAGCCTGGAAGCCACAGGGGGTTAAATCCAGCGGGCTTTGAGAAGTAATACAAGGAAGGCTACTTGCTATCACAAGTACTTTATGATTTCTTTTGAAAATCGGCC